ATATAATATTACAATAAACTATTATATCATATAGCCTGTTGAGGAAGAGAAGGAAACTACACAGCTCGAAATTCAGTATGAACACATAGCCTAATGGTACACAACTTATAAAATATCATGTTTTAATTAAGTTGTTATTTTTTTACTTATTTTTTTTTACTGTATGTGTATGTTAAAAGTACCATTCCGGCAGCAAGAACGATCCTGAACTAAATGAAGATTAATGTCTAGGCGTATGATATGTTTATTGAACCAATCAGATAAGAGTAAATGGAGTCAGCGAGAGACTCATTTGATTGGCTACAAGAAGAAGGTGGCCCCGCCCTCCCCCTCACGCTTGCAAAACTCAGTTAGTGAGAGAATCGTGCCAAAATTGTAAGCGCAGAGAAAAGAAAGACGGAGCTGTAAATATCGGTTTATTTCGGGAACTTTTTGCCCCACATGCACAAGTCATTTAGACATTTGCAACAGTTTGTTTTTTTACACATACAGATTGGTTCTATGCAGTCAATCCGTTTTGCAGTTCTTTAAACTGTTGTTTTCGCTTGCAAATCACTGTTCACAGGCTTGCAGTGCTTTTGACCGTCTTTTGGCGAAAAAAACGTGCCAAAAGTGTAAGCGCGGAAAAATGGAAGTCAGAAGCATGCAGATCATATTTATTTTGCGTTAGCATGAAGCTGCAGTTTCACAATACATGAATTACACTTACGAGTAACAGTAAAATGCTGCAAATATTTTTTTCTTGCGCTTGAAACACGATTTACACCTTTACAAAGCTTCTCTTGCGCATGCAAATTTAATTTACGCTTACAGTCTTATGTACACTTCCACAAATATTACCCTGCGTATGCAAATCTTTTTGACGTCATTCTACCTTCATAGTAAAAGCTTATGTTTCCATCTCAGCTGCTTTGAGATTAAAAGGAGATTTAATATGAGAAAGAGAAAAAAAAACACATTATTATCACAGCGTTTTGATCTACTTTAGCTTAGAAAATGTTGATGATTACTTACGGTGTGAGCGCTGACACAGTGAAGCTCCTGATGGCCGCCACTCTCAACAGGAAGCAGGTGTTGCTATGGAAATAATTGAATCGAGACTGAAAACATGAATAAACTATAATTTAACTGTAATTTGTTAAAACACTTTCAGTCCCACCATGTTCAGACTTATATCACCTTTTAATCTCTTTGGATAAAAGCATCTACTAAATGCATAAATGTCAATATTAATCTAAAACATAAGCATTCTGCTTTTAAGCAATCAATAACTGACACTAGCATTCAAAAGTTTGAGGTTGGTAAGATTTTTTAAATGTTTTTTTAATTAGTCTCATATGGTCACAAAGGCTACATTCTTTTTTTTTAAATACAGTAAAAACAGTAATATTGTGAAATATTATTACAATTTAAAAGAACATATTTCTATGTGAATATATTGTAAAATGTAATTTATTCCTGTGATGCGCAGCTGTATTTTCAGCATCATTACTCCATTCTTCAGTGTCACATGATCTTCAGAAATCCTTATAATATGCTGATTTGCACATTAGAACCCTTTTCATGCTTAGATAATTTCCCCGTTGATAAACCTCATGTTTGTCTTGAGGAATACCATGTTTCACTTTCAAATATGTCATATTGTTTCATTTTGGTTTTGCGGAACCAACCTTACTGAAGTCTCCTATGAGTGTGACGTCACTGACGGCGTCCTGAGTGACGCGTGTGGGCGGGGCTTTCCGCCGTGACGTCAGCTGTCCGAGCCTCGCAGCCGCCTGCAGACGAGCAGAGAGTGAAAAACAAATAACACAAGCATCTTTCACCGCAGGTACTCTCTGTTCGTGCATGATCTCCTCCTCACCGTTAGGTCGACCGCAGCCGTCTCTGGTGGGTGACTGGCGTCCTCTTCTGGGTCACTGCGGTACTGTCTCCATGTTCGGCCCGCTGGTTCTGCCTCATCTGCACTGGAGAATCTACTGGAGAGACGCACGCGCAGTCGCTTCTGCGGGACAAATGTTGAGGCCTTCACTTTGAATGCAGGTGCAATGAAACACGCCCTTTATGAGCTTGACCCAGTGTACAAAACAATACAGTGCAAAGTACCAACATCATGCCAAGACTCACAGATCCACCTTATTATATAACACGGAATTAAGCAATTTTCTGTGAATGTGGAGACTTCCGATTCATTAGCTGCACTAGAACTAGAAGAATACCAAAGTGCAGTAAACGGTCAAACTATTTGCACTACAAACCAGTGTGCTTATAATTATGATAATACACTCAAAACATGATAATAAATTCCAGTTTGCAATATCAAGCAGCATAACGGAATGTTTTGTACAAATAAAATAACTGGAAGCCAGTGACGCACATTTAAAGGGGTCCTATTATGCTTTTTCACTTTTTTAATTTTAGTCAGTGTGTAGTGTGTATGTTTGGGCATAAAAAAGATCTAGAAAGTTACAAATCTCAAAGTCCACTCAGTTTTGTGAATTTAGTATTTTGTCATGTCATTACATTGTTTAGAGCATAAGAAAAAAAGTGAAAAATAAAACATTTTTTAAATGATATTTTATTCATATGTTATGCCATTTCCTCTGTAGAAGACATTGGGACTTTAAAAAGTCCTGTTTTTTAAGAAATAAAAAGACATGAATAGACATGAAAAGGTGAAAACAGTGGGATTTTTGTTTTAATCACAAATCAATTTTCATTTTTTATACCAAACTTTATATAAAGACGATTCTCAACTATGTTATGAAAGATATTTTTAAAACCATTTTTCTTTATGAAAAATGTGTAAAATGGCCATAAATGGGTTTCCCCCATTATATACAATGTATCTATAAACAGTATCTAATTTGAATTTTAATGTGTTTTAAAATTGGTGCAATAATGGGAGTAATAATTGGCAAGATTTTCATAATATCTAATATTTCATAGAAATATTGATTTTTTTTTTCCCCTATTCATTTGTTGTGTCTCCCAAAATGTGTACTAAACATGCTTTAAGTCCTGGTGTCCTCTACAGCGGACATGTATGAAATCAATGTCCTGTTTCGTAACATAGTCATATTTTGATTTAAAACCCCATAACATTTTTCTGAAATGTTGATTTATGACAAACAATTAGAAAATTAGTCAAATTACAAAATACTATATTTCCATAACGGTGTTAAATTTGATCATGTAATTAATGTCAGCCATTTTTAAATACCAAGGAGAGGGAGTGGTCATGGTGAAATCTACAGAAGACAAAACTCCATAGCTGGGAGTCGGGAGGATATATATATATATATATATATATATATGTATATTAGGGCTGGGTTTTTCGATATATCGTTTTTTTAAATGTGGTCGTGGTATCTCTGAAAAGCCCTGAATGTGCTCTGTACAGGACATCCAGACTTAAAACTGTGACATGTAACGTCTCAGAGAAAATGCTAAAACATAATGTCCTCTACAGAGGACAAAACTCCATAGCTGGTAGTCAGGAGGATATTTCAAATGACATTCTGGTTTCATAAGTAATAATATGTGGGCTAATGTAAATGAGCGTATATATATAAGTGTTACTAACAATGGCTCGCTCATTCTCCTTATTGGTAGGAGAATCGCGACAGTTCCTCCACAGAGACCTGGGCTGGACGTAAAAAGTGCAGAAAGAACATCAGATACATTATGAGAGCTGTAAATGGGTTAAAGTGTCATGAAAATAATTTTTATATAAATTATTTATTTTAAAATAATTTTTTTTTTTACTTTTTATTTACTGTGTTTGGTTACTGTATCCTACCGTGTTTGAAGAGGAGTCAGGAGACAGGCTTCTGCTGAGACAAACACAGGACATATGACGGCTTGTTTTCTAATACAGTGGGTTTAGAACAGAATCACCCTCTATAGCTTTCACTGGGATGTTATAAGTTGCACTGAGTAAATACAGCTGGATAAAACAAAAACTGTGTCCGTCTTCATTTCAGGCTGCAAAGCAACAAAACGTGATTATTTTAAAGGGGGGTGATTCTTTTCTATACCCACTGTAACTGTGATACAGGTTTATTGCAAGTAATTAAAACAACTTGAAATATAATATGAAAAATAAAAATGCCAAGGCAACATTTGTCATTTTCATTTGGCTTACCTTGATGTACTAAAGTAACTAAAACTGAAATAAAAATTAATAAAAACTATATAGACATATAAAAATGACAAAAACACGAAATTTCTAAAACTATAAATTAAAATGAAAACAGAAAATATATATAAAAAAAACTAATTCAAAATAATAATAAAAAACAAGGATAGTTTCTCCATAATAAAATAACACTGCTGTCAACATCGCTGATTATTAATGAAATGCATTATTAAAATAAGGTCATGCATGTTTATTTTACCTTGCTCGTCTTCTTCTCACTGCAGAGACTAAGAGAAAATTCACAGCACTATAATTCATAACTGTGGATGAACAGTTTTGAATAGCAAAGGATAAAATTTAATCAAGTAATTTTCTGTTGGTATTTCAGTTACTAATTCTTAGAATGAATGAATATATAAAGAATATATGCATCTTAAGCAGAAACATTTGAGGAGAGGTGACTAGCTCCAGGATTTAAAAAAACAAATTGATCTAACAGAGTCTTCAAACATAAGACAAAACTAATCTAAATGTGCAAACACAAGGAGCTGGAACAGCTTGAGTTTGAAGTGTCCTCAGAGGAGAGTTAATTAAGTGTTTGTGTGTGTGTGTGTGTGTGTGTGTGTGTGTGTGTGTGTGTGTGTGTGAGAGAAGCTCTTGTCCAGACCTGTCAGCGTCTCTCTCTCCCTGGAGAGGGTGTTGAGCGGCGGGCTGATGCATTCAGGCGTCAAAACAAGCTTTCTCCAGGGGGGCGAGCTCTTCGGACTCAGACTTAAAGTAAATGTGCATCAAATATAAGTTATAACATAAAACTAATAGTTAAAAAAAAAAAAAACAGATAAAATGGGTGTCAATATAGGACCCAGTAAAAAAAAAAGCAAACAAGAAAGTAAATAAATAAAATATGTATTAAAATTGACCACTGACAATTTATATGAGACCACTTTAGTGATCACTTTAAATATTATTTAGGGTACATTTATATGTAAATATGGCAGTTCCATCTGTATAACAAAAATGTTTCCTTTGTGTTTAGTTTTATAGATATTATTATAGATTCATATGAACAGTATGATTAATAATTAATAATAACTATAGTAAATAGTCACAACAAATATCAATATTAATTATAATATATAAATGTGAAATAACTAGCCTTATATAGAGAGAGAGAGAGAGGGGGAAAATGCACTTTTAATATCACTTTAATTCCTTACAAAATATTTAAAAATAAATAAATGTAAAAAGTCTAAGTTCTCTCACCCATCCTGACACTGGAGGTTCTGCAGGCTGAAGGAGAGCTCATTGACCGGGGAAGAGTCTTGTGCTGTCAGATCACAGTCTGCCTCCTCCGCATCAGCAGCCATTGATCTACTCAGTGCTGTACACTAACCGGCACACTCTACTGCTGCACTGAGATACCATATGAGCTGTGCATCATGATGTGAATGTGTCATCGTGTCTCCACTGAGGGTCTCCGCATCTCCTCCCCTTGGAAACTCGTGTTGCTACAACACTCTTCATGTGACCCGCCCGCGAGGCCATCACAGTAATCATCCTCCAGCACAGAGCACACGGCGAACTCCACATTTAGATAATTGCTTCAGAATGTTGAAGCTGTGGAAGTCCGTGGTGCTTAACTTCACTGATTTACAGAAAATGCCTTATTTAGTGGAACAGACGACAGTTCTTAAAGAAACAGTTCACAGCAAAACATGAAATTCTGTCGTCTACTCAACCCCACGACGTTTTAATTATGTATGACATCTTCTTTCATGAAACACAAAAATTATTTAGCTGAATAGATAGACTATTATAAAAATAGAGTATTTAATGGTAGTCCCCATCCACTTCCATTATATAGAACAACGCAGCCTCTGTGTTCAACTACGTTTGCATGTAGCTTTCATTATGCAGCTTTTATGCAAAAATAAAGCAATGTCAGAGAAGCCTTAAACTTTGCCATTGTTTATGTATAATTTATAGGGTTTCACGTTTCCTTAGTCATAATTAAATATTTGTAAAAAGTAATTTAAAAACATTTTTTCTGCAATATTGTCACTTTTTTTATTATTATAATATATGAAACACAGAATGACATTAATATACTACATGCCAGGGAGCAAGAAAATAATGTACCTTTTAAAAAGATTCACAGTTTTTACAGTTTTCTTATTGGAAGAGTCACAAATCAAATACATATAGCAATATTGTCGCTGTGTCTCTATGCATCGACTCCAGTGATGTTGTGCTTGATCACATGTTCGAAATGGGTGGTATAATTCTAACCAATCACCTTCTACATGTAGAAAAACAAGAGCGTTCTGAAGCGCTGATTGGTCAGTGGCATTGCGATGACGCATTAGCCCCGCCTCTTTCTGGAAGCTAGCTGTCATGTGATTTGTTTGTTGGCGATCTGCTGTACGGAGCCACATAATTTCGTTACGGTGACAAATCGGGTAATTCCCCCTTTCCCCCCTCTGTCCTCCTCTCTCCGCCATGGACGAGACGAGCCCGCTAGTCTCTCCGCTTCGCGATTCCAACGATTTCAGCTACGGTCCCGCCGAGCCGACCAGTCCCCGGGGCGGATTTGGAGGGACGCCGGGCTCCGTGGTGCGTCTGCCGGCCGGGAGTCCCGGACGCAGCCGCGAGCGACAGCCGCTCCTGGACCGAGACCGAGGCGCGTCGGCCCGCGACCCTCACAGGAACGAGTTCCCGGAGGATCCGGAGTTCAGAGAGATCATCCGGAAGGCGGAGCGGGCCATCGAGGAGGGCAACTACCCCGAGCGCATCTATCAGGGCTCCAGCGGCAGCTACTTCGTCAAAGATTCAGCAGAGGTGAGAGTTCATCATATCTTGATTTGTGACCCGTTACATAAGCTGAGTTTTCAGTGCATTCACAGCTTCACACAGAGCTGATCATGCTGTGTAATAGTGCAACAGCTGTGTCATCAGGTCAGGCCTCGAGTCATGCAAACCAGAAATCTGTTTCTGTAGCCTACAGTTTAGGTTGAGTTTGTCAGACAGTTGTGTGTTTCTTCATCTGCAGGCACTTTTATGTGTTTTTATAATGTGAATGTGAATGTGAAAGTGAAACTGTCTTGGAAACTTGTGAACACATCACTTTGGTTGCGCAGATGTGCAATTACAAATGATGAATGTGTGATAAAAACCAGGTAAATTTCACTTTTAGGGGCGTTGGACACATTGCTGTGTTATTGCACAGGACAGCAGCATTATCAGGCCCCTAGTTCAAAATCTAGATAGCATTTTTATGCATCACAGTTCCTAGGCAGGCAGCTCACTAGTTGTTTGATCCATAGACAAAAAGCTTACCGGCACTTTCTAACTCTCTTTAGTGAAACGACAGTGCATTATCATGCAGAGATAGAGCTCATATCAGTACACACTCAATTACCCAGCAGATATGCACTACGTCTTTCATATGAAAAATGAATACAAGGTAACAGCTCTCATAAAATTCAAAGTGATTAGGAATGAGTTATTATTTTGGCAACTTTACAGTACGGTTCCATTTGTAAACATTAGTTAACTACCTTAGTTAATATGAACTAACAATGAAAAGCACTTATTAATCTCAATTAATGTTAATTTCAACATTTACTAATACATTATTATAATCAAAAGTTGTATCTGTTAATATTATTTAATAGACTTGAGCTAAAATGAACTAACAATGAACAGTTCTATTTTTTAAATGATAAAATACTGTAACAAATGTTAGTTAATGTAGTAAGCAAGGTAATTATTACATGAACTTTATTTATTTTTTTATTTTTGTGCATTATTGCCAGTGAAGATGGGACTTAAATGCAAAGAGTGTTTAGAAATGTGATGCACATACCAGTGTTATTTTAGTATTATTTTAGACAATTAAAGTATTCATTACTATTTTGAATGAGCTATAACATATTCTTATGTGCTTTTGTCATTTTTGTTAGTTTTTTTATTATTTCTGTTTAGCTTTTTATCAGATTTAGCTGTAGTAATTTTAGTACATTTTTCATCTAATATTGAATTTTATTTCAGATTTGTTTCAGTTAACAAAAAAATTATTTTTATTAGTTTTAGTTAACAATAACAATGGAATCCCTCGTGGGACATTGTTTTGCAGGCAAATTACAGCAGATACAAGTGTATTTTAAGAGGCAGATTTGTTTCAGTTAACAAAAAAATTATTTTTATTAGTTTTAGTTAACAATAACAACACTGGAATCCCTCGTGGGACATTGTTTTGCAGGCAAATTACAGCAGATACAAGTGTATTTTAAGAGTATTTATTTTCGAAAGTGTCTTTAGTTGAAGAAACACCCTTCTTTGGCGTCTGAGCTTCTAATGTAAGAAGCTTGCATTGGATTTGACACGGTACTTTGTGTGTTTTAAGTAGTGGTCGACCGCTAATGGCTGATAAACAGCATATCTGAACTCTAGTATCCAGCTCAAAACCCATCGAGGCAGCATTTTTAGTCACTCTTGGAATGTTTGTTCACTAGATAGGCAGTTCCTTCAGTTTTGAGACAAATGCCATCATCATTGATCATTAAACAAAAGACTTGCAACACTTTCTCCTTGTGAGAGAATACAGAACCGCTCAGGGTTATTTAGTAACGGTGGTCATTTCATCAGTGCATACTCGGTTCCTCTCTGCTTTAAATGAAACCGTGGAATTACCGTGATGGTCTGACATGCTTTAAGGCATGTCACATGCGTTAAGCGGCCTAATTCTGCAGTTTGACTTCTAATGGCTGGTGAAGTGTGTTAGACATTGGGCTTGCTTTCATTCAGCCACAGAATCACAAAACGCCATAACTCTCGGCTTTAGACCCGGTTTGTAGTTCCCTTCATTCGGAAAGAACTCAAAGGTTAAAATGTTTTGCATTGATTATATTTATCAGAGAGCGACTGGTTGTTCTGTTGTGTCAGTTCAGCAGAACTGAGTGAATGTGTGAGAGGAACTTTATAATGACTGATAATAATCCTTATAGAAAAGATGGACTTTAACAAAGAGACTCTTCCAGTTTTGCTACATCAACATGAAGAGGAACTGAGATTTACTACATGTTTTCTGTGGGAGTTCCCAGTGTTGTTACTCCTCGGTCAAATCACGTTATTCTGTACTAGTTCAGATAGTTTAAAGTTTTCAGTGTTTAATTTGAAAATGACAAATGAAGTAAGTTGTGAAGTGACCAAAAATAACAATTTCTATCTGCACACAAGCTGCAAACAAACCCATTTTTTCCATTTATAATGTAATCCTGGTGAATTTGACAAGAAGTGAGCTTCTGGCCAGTCATAGGACATGATTATTAGTCATGATTAGGGTTGCAAAGGGGTGGAAAATTTCCGGTAAATTTCTGGAAACTTTCCAAAGATCCCTGGAATATTAAAAAAAAAAAAACTGGAAAGTTTCCGAAATTTACTGAAAATTTTCCACCTTTTTGCAACCCTAGTCATGATGATTAATTTTAGTTAGTCTGATCAGAGTTGACTGAATTGTGCTACATACTCCAGCCTGTAGGGGGCAGAACTGAGTTGATCTGATGTCATTTGGTGTTTTGTTTTCTTGTGAGATGTTCCTCATGTCTTTGATCTTCAGCGGTGCAGGGCTGGTGTTCGTCCTCTCGGTAGTGAACGTGCTGGAAGCTTCATCTGCTCACTAGTGAGGCAGCTCACATGAGTCATAAGGCACATGACCATATGTATGGTCAGGTGGTGCGCCGGGCCAGTTTCTCATTCACATCAAATCAAATCTCAGATGAGTCATGGAGGCCAGACGAAGTCTTTGTTAAAAGTCACTCTTGGTTGGGAAATCAGTGTCTAAAAATAAGGTTAAATGTGTAACTATTGTGAAACTTGCATTTCTGGGTCCGGTAAGATTTTATAATGTTTTTGAAAGACGTCTCTTATGCTCACTAAAGCTGCATTTATTTGATTAAAAATACAATAAAAACAGCAATATTGTGAAATATTATTATAATTTAAAATAGCTGTTTTCTATGTGAATATATTATAAACTGTAATTTATTCCTGTGATGCGCAGCTGTATTTTCAGCATCATTACTCCAGTCTTCAGTGTCACATGATCTTCAGAAATCATTCTAATATGCTGATTTGTTCATTAACATTTCTGATTATTATCAATGCTGAAAACAGCTGTGCTGCTTAATATTTTTGTTGAAACCGGGATGCATTTTTTTTTTTTCCAGGATTCTTTGATTAATAAAAAGTTTTAATCTTTCATAACATCATAAATGTCTTTACTGTCACTTTTGATCACTTTAATGCATCCTTGTTTAATTTCTTTTTTGTTTAAATCTTCCTTTTGGTTGTTGCAGCATATTAAACTAGGATATGAGAACGTGTTTAACCTCAAAATAATTGCACATTTAGTTTTATTTAACTAAAATAACCTTGGTTATGAATGTGATTTTAGTCTAATATGTGTACGGTAGCGTTGGTTTGCTCATGGGAAAAATGCTGTTTTACTGTCATGCTAAAGCGTAACGTGTGAAAGTCTCAGTTTGAGCAGACGTTTGCTCTGAACCGCACGTGTCGCTTCAGGAAACCTGACCTGAAATGTCCTCTCTCTTCTCCAACAGAAGATCATCGGCGTCTTCAAACCAAAGAACGAGGAACCGTACGGCCAGCTGAACCCCAAGTGGACCAAATGGCTGCAGAAGCTCTGCTGTCCGTGCTGTTTCGGCCGGGACTGTCTGGTTCTGAATCAGGGCTACCTGTCAGAGGCCGGCGCCAGTTTGGTGGACCAGAAACTAGAGCTCAACATCGTGCCGCGCACAAAGGTATGAGAACGACACCCACAGTTGTGCATCTTCACCGTAACCAAAAGCGAGGTGAATGAGGACGTGAGAAAGTAGGGTGATAGTCGTGATGGTTTGGTGTTTGTTAGTCAACGTCTTTCGTTTCCTGTTGTTAGCACGCATGAAAACACACCAGTCAACCGCACAGCTGAACATAACGGCTCACACTCCCACAACATCTCTGTTGCTGACTGGTGACAGAGAAGATGGATGCGTCCTATATAAAGCATTCTCTGTGCTCTCTTTCTCTCAGGTGGTGTATTTATCAAGTGAGACGTTTAATTACAGCGCCATCGACCGAGTAAAGTCTCGAGGAAGCCGTGGTTTACAGTGAATTTATAACAGCTAAGGGGCGTTGTTAGGCACGACGCGAAGCGGAGTTAGCTGTTATAAATTTACTGTAAACCACGGTTTCACGGGGCTTATTGCTTTTATAAAATGGTTATTCCATATACGTAATAAAGTTTCACAAAATAAAACTGAGCAAATAAAGTGTAATGATATTAATAAAAACATTAGTCTTCCGCCAAACAATGTAGTTCCTCAGAAACAGTTGTGGTTCCAACAAAGTGGTTGCTGAGCAACACACAGAAGTAAACAAAGGTGTATGTTTGTAGAGTAATTTACAACAGCTTCGAACTTGGCTCAGCCAATCAGAATCAAGGACCGGAACTCTCCGTTTTATAATTCAAGTAATAAAACGTTTTTTAATGGTTTTAGCTTTAGTTCATTATAATAACCTTGGGTTTATAAACTATATAGAGCACAATAGTACGGTTTCAGAAGTAAAAATTTAATTAATTTCTTCTTTCGAGACAGACCTGCCATGAGCTCTGACATTGTTGAGCGATATTATATGCTACTGTATGCGCTTAAACAATTTATTGTTGTATTTGTATTTAAATATTATTTATTAAACATAAAATATAAGTCTCAGTTAATTTCAAGCTCAGTGTGAACAAGCACATCAACGCCATCTGCAAAATGCCCACAAATACATCTTTATGGTTGAGAAGTTGTACAGCCATCATCATAAATGGGCAAGGAAATCCAATCCCATTTTTATTTTATTTTATTTTTTTATATTCTCATCTTTATTTTCTTTCATTTACTCAATCAATCCAAGTTTAGCGTTTTACCGTCATGGCTAATTTGATCATGCCATTCGCAATGGGATGAGTTGTTCATTCACTCATAAAAGATTCTTGTACCTTTACAAACACAATTTTTTGGTTCAAATCAAGGTTTATAATGTGGTAAATTCCTAAACAAAAACTGAGGAAAAATTAGTTGGTTTATACACACTGCTGGCTGTTGTAGGTTTGTGAACTCGTTTATATTGGTTGTTTGTAGGTGGGCTCATTCCAGCTTTTCGTAGAGGGGTATAAAGATGCTGATTTCTGGCTGCGCCGGTTCGAGGCGGAGCCTTTACCAGAAAACACTAATCGCCAACTCCAGCTACAGTTTGAGAGACTGGTGGTGCTGGATTACATCATCAGAAACACAGGTAACCAACAGAATCAAGGTCAAACGAAATGACCAAAAACACATTTTAACTATATATTGGCTTTATTTTGTTGTATGGATCTGTAGATCGAGGAAATGACAACTGGCTCATCAAATATGACTGTCCGATGGATATATCAAGCAACCGGGTGAGTGGCCAGATGCCTTTTTGGGAGACTTTCTGTCCCATTTTTATGCTCATGTTTGTGTTTATCGAATGCTTTTCTCATGCAGGACAGTGACTGGGTGGTGGTGAAGGACCCCATCATTAAACTGGCAGCCATTGACAATGGTCTGGCCTTCCCTCTCAAACACCCAGATTCATGGAGAGCCTGTAAGCCAATCATCATCCACCTCTCAAGCACATGACCAACTACTGGCCAATCACATTGCAATATGCTCGACAAGTGCTAAATACAAACGTTGTATTCTGAGGTGTTTTGTTTCATTTGATGTTGTTTTTTGCAGTCAGTTCAATCGTTTTGTTGAATGTATTTCCTGTAGACCCATTTTACTGGGCTTGGCTGCCCCAAGCGAAAGTTGCATTTTCCCAAGAGATCCAAGATTTAGTTCTGCCCAAATTATCCGACCCGAACTTCATCAAAGACCTTGAAGAAGATCTATATGAGCTTTTTAAGGTGAGTCGCAGAGATTGCTTTGAAATTCAGATTAATTCAGCTGGGGACTCGCAGACATGTTTGACTTCTGTTCTGTGAAATGAATGCTCGGTATTGACTTTGTATTGACGTTAACACTGACAGAAAGACCCGGGTTTCGACAGAGGACAGTTCAAGAAGCAGGTCTCAGTAATGAGGGGTCAGGTGAGTCATTTATAACTGTATTATAGTTGTGATTAAAGATACTAAAAGCAATAATCTGCATTATAATATTATGATATTTTATACAATAGGACTGTGCAATAAATCGATATTGATATTCACCATAAAAAAATAAATCCACAATGTCTATAATAAACGTTTGATTAGCCTACATCTTCAGAGTTGCTCTGAGAGTCATGAGCAATTTTGGTTTAACATGAAAAAGTTCTGTTTAACATTGTTATAACAGAAGTATTTTACAGTTGTATAGTAAAATATACTTCTCAAAGTAATAATAATAATTTTAAGGAATACCAAGATACTTTTTTCATCCATGATTAATTTATACACTATAAAAATTCTTTTTTTTGACCTTATTTGACAAATTGTTGTAAATGAATAGTTATATTTTAATTTGATTAGATTTTAAAAGGTTGATTAAAATGTTAACGTTTTATGGATTCATTTCGGTAGACACCATTTTGATGATGATGAATTTGTATTAAATCATAAAACATGGAATCCAGCAAAAATAAAACCGAAAACACAGAATTTGGTGAAAAATAAAAGTGGTTTCATAATGCCCTAAATTAAAAGCTTTCTGTGGAGTTTACTTGTCATTTTTGAGGTCTAACAAACGTGGAATGCATATCCTTCCCCATTAATGGTATAAAAGAATATTGTAATGAATATCAACATCGAATGAAATGGGAAAAAAATATTGATCATTTTGACCAAATACTATTACTCAGCCCTGTTATTTGGCCACAATACATTATTTAAATGTTGAAAATGCCCTTAAAGGATTTAAAAGGGTTCATATGAACTCTAATTAATGGTTCACAGTTGGAACAAACACTGTTAATCTCAATTTGCAAAAATGAACAGTTATTGATGACCATTTCTCATGCTGCTTGACACTAATTAAACTCCCAGAACAGCTCGCATTCTTGGTATCTTTCTTCTCTTACTACATTTTCACACTGATGTGACAGGAGGTCTACGAGAGCAGGGCAGTTGAATGAAAACCACCTTATGATTCGGCATGGTTCAGCTCATTTCTTGTCCTGCGTTCCTCTAGATCCTGAACCTGAGTCAGGCGCTGAGGGAGGAGAAGACCCCGCTGCAGCTGGTGCAGATGCCGCCGGTGATCGTGGAGACGGCACGAGCGCCGCAGCGAGCCAACAGCGAATCCTACACACAGAGCTTCCAGAGCAGAAGACCCTTCTTCACCTGGTGGTGATGTGGGCTTGCATGCGTGTGCACAGCCTGGTTTTAGTTGCGTTGTTCGGTGGGATTTCGGGAACAAACAAGAGTAGCAATAACTGATGACAAACACATAATTCTGAAGGAAAGCATTGCCTTGTTTACTGTTACACTGTATGAACACACACAGCCGCGTTCAGAATGACCTGCATGTCGATAAGGCGATGAAGGAGAAACTTTCTGCTTGACGGCTGTGCGGCACGCTGCTCAACTGCATCATTCGTGAGTGTTTTCTGGTCAGGGTTTTCTTGTGTTAGTTTCGTTTTTCGTTGAAAAGTCACATTCTCTCCTGCTTTTTTTTTTTTTTTCATTAGCATTATATTTTTCTCTTTTTTTTTTTTTATGCTCGCATGTCTGCCGTTCATAACCTGGAGGCGGAGTCACCTCGGCGCTCTACTGAGCGCGTGCAGAAACACTGGAACGTTCCATTCTCGCAGTGACATCATTCTTTTTGTTCGTTGTTTGATTTCATTTGAAAATTGAAGATTTTTTTTAACAATGCATTCACAGGTGTCAACAAAACTGACCTTAAAACGTGACAATGAACTGTATGATTTGTATGTAATGTATTTAATGAAAGCTGCTAAAATTATAACCGTGCGGTACTCAATAAAAGAAAAGACTCAGGTTTTATTTCAAAAGCAGTTTAATTGGAAGTTCCAGCTTAATGGCGAGGAGAAAAATAACTTGTTCTTGTGCATGTATTAGTGTTCATTGATTTCGGCTACATGTTTTCATCCATATTGCTTGTAACTGTCTGTCTGACAGAAGAAGACGTTAAATAATCAACACTAATAGTGTCCAGCATACATCTGCAGGTGATACTACGTATGCATCGTTTACATATTACCACAGACTATTTGTATCTAAAACAACACTAATGATTTGAAGAGAACTGCAGTAAATGCAAATACATTCTTTTATATTTTTTAGATATTGACCATTAAACACCACTGGAAGGCAGAATGCTCCCTGAAGATGAGGACTATTGAGAAACTAGTGTTTTGGAACCAAATACAAGCGCATATCATTAAATAACAGAAACCCAGCACTCTTCGGCCCCGTACATATATTATAAACGAAACAAAAAAGCTGATAGGGCTCTGGAAGCATCTATGAGACTTAAATCAATGCATTTAAAGGAACAGATCGCCACCCAAAAAACTAAGAGAATCTTGTAATTTGCTCACCCACGTGTTGTTCCAAACCACTATGATTTTCTCTTTTCAGTATAAAATAATTACAATGAGTATAAATGCAGTGACAGTGAATGGGCACAGACACAAAAAATGACAAAAATATATAAATCACATTTTTTTGGTGATTTTATGTTTTTTTTTTTTGGAGTTTAACTGCCTCAGTTCACTGATAGACACTTAAGTACATCTACTTGCATGAAAGGTGACTATCGTTACTGAAATACGATATCTTTTTTTTAGCATAAATACGTTTACAATATGAACAATGTATCATTATTGCATTGCAAGTAATGTTTTGTTTGTTTGTCTTCATTTGCTTTATGAAAAAACGTTATCTCACTGCTTTTGCCTTTGGGTATAATGTGACCTAGACAGGTTTTGCAAGATTTGCTCCAAAAAAGTTGTTGTATTTTTAATAGTTTTGCTGTGGATTTTTTGTCAGTGTAGAAAAGAGCAGCATGAGCACCTCCTTTTGTGTTCTGCATTAGAACGCAGGTCATTTGGATTTGTAACGACATGAGGGTGAGTAAATTAAGACAGAACTGTCATTTTTGGGTGAACTATCCCTATAATAGTGTTTGACTGTTATTGTGCAATCAGGTCTGAGGATGTAAGAATGGCACAAACCCGTAAACAGTGTGTTAAGGTATAAAAGGAGTGTAATCCTGCGGGATTATTGTTAATGTGCCTTCCTGGCCGTTGCAGGTGCTGTAGTGTTGATCGTTGCTCGATTAAGTCTAGTGTTTGATTGAGGCGGTGGCTTCAAGTAAATCTACGGTGACAGCGAGTCTCTCAGGCAGTAATCTGATTGGATGCCGCTCTGCTGCCTCAGTGTCGGATCCGGTGCAGGTATCGCTCGGGGTCCTTCTCCTGAACACCGTTCCAGCTCCATCTGGGGCCACCCGAGGGCCCCTGAGTCTCTTCCTCTGGGGGCAGGAAGTCAGCTTGGTCACATGATCCAGCCTCAAAAGAGCTCTGCCCCCCACAGGCTCCCAAAGCAGATGCATCGTCATCATCATTGTTGGCATTATCTTCATCTCCAGTGATGACTTCAGACGTCTGTCCCAGTGAGCCCTCGTTGATTCTTATGGGTGATTAAATAATAATGCATGCACTTATTAGATCACTACGGTATTCTCACGCACAGTCTGATGTTCACAGGCGTGTGTGTGTGTGTGACCCGTGCCTAATTTTCTTGTTTGTTTACAGGGTCTTTAATGTGGCTGATCTCATGACCTAAATTTGTTCAGATTAGCATGTTTCCATTAACTCTCACACACACACAGAGCTGCCATGTGCATCAGAATAGACACTAGTGAATCTGCTAGTGTAAATTAAATGCAATCACATCTAAGTTCACATTTAAACCAAAAATCAAAAGGAAAAAATGTTTCGAATATAAAAAAAAAAAAGTACTTATAGTTGTTGTTGTTTTTGCAACTATTTGTGTGCAAAATTATTAAATACACTGTAAAAAATGGTTGTGATTTTAACAGTAAAAGACTAAAAATGCTACAGTAAAAACCTGTTAACTGGTTAACAGTAAGTTTCCATACTATATACGGTGAATACATGTAATTACATTTAATGTGATTTTACAGTAAAATACTCAAGAAAAATTCATTGTATAATTTACAGTGAAAAAACGTAAATTGACACTCCCAGAATTCCCTGCATGACACTTCATATTTGATGTTTTTTTTGTTGAAATAACATGTTTCTTCTTTTTGTTGTGTTTCTTATCAGTTGTGTACACTAGGGTTTAACCTTACATCTAATGTTGTTAAATTAATGTTTATTGCATTATTTCAGTATCATGTGTGTCACCATGATTGGGTTTAGTGTTTGTGTGAATGACACTGTGCACCTTCTATATATAAGTATTGCCCTCCTCAGCTCGTAGAAAAGTTGTTTGTGATGAGCTTTGGTTCATCATGTGACTTTCTCATCACCACCAGTTTTTGGTGGTTATCAGTGCATTACAATGATATTAACACTTCAGTATGTTGGTTTATTAACATTACATCAGTTAATGAAATACGGTATTTTATTGTGAATTTAAGTTAAGTCTGTAAAACCTAAAATGTTGCTACCATATTTTTTTACGGTGAAGTTCTGGCAACCACAGCTGCCGGTACCGTAAATGTCAGATTTTTTTTTTTACAGTGTATATTTTTTTATTTTTAGTTCAGTAATATGGTAATTACTGAAATACAATAAAGTACTGTATTATATTATTACAAAATACTGCAATACAATGACTTGCAAACAGCATGAAGGCAGTAAACAAATACTACCATTATGTATAAATAATTTACCAATATAAATCATATATCATTATTTTTGCATTGCAAGTAATGAGAATGAGGTCTGTTTTGCCAATGTCAACAATATATACATACACACTATATATATATATATATATATATATATATAGTTATAATATTTTTTTGTTTTTTTTGTGCAAATTGTGCAAAAGTAAGCTTCATCTGCTTTATGTATTAATGTGTTTTCTAACTGTTTATCTTTTTGTCATTTTGGGGTATAATGTGACCCAGACATAATCTTGACAGGTCTTGCGAGGTATGTATAAATATTACAATGATGTTGGTTAAATTTTAAGTAACAGTTTACCCCCCAAAAAAATGACACAGCCTTTATTTTGTACATTTCAGTTTGAGTCTGTACATTAAGTTAATTTCAGAGCTGCAGACTGAATTCATTACAGAAGTTTAATACTTACATTTAGTTTGCTGTATCAATACAATAATACAGCATAAACACTTTAATGAGTACTGCATGTTCCCATATTTTTTCCTCATCTTGAAATAACTGATTTCTCTCTCTCACATGAGATGACCGAACGCTCGCACCCATCTTGTTCCTGTGCTGTCTTTATGAGACTCCACCCTGAGGCCACTTCGGTTCCGCGCTCGGACTCGGAGTCCCACCAGCGCCTGAGCCAAACCCGTCTCCACCTCCGCCATCGCTCCGTCCTCGTCCTCGTCCTCTTCCTCTCCACCCGCTGCTCTCCGGTTCCCCCACACCATCCGGGCTCTCTGCTCGGGGTCCGGGTCCCCCGCCGCTTGGAAGAGCCGTCTGAGCTGCCTCAGGTTTACTCCCTGAAAGATGTTAGCGGTGCCAGACTTGCGTTTCCGACGCTCGGAGGCCGACGGGTGGGAAAACGCGGGCTGGGACGGGCCTGCGAGAACAGGGGCTGAGGCCACGTCCTCCATCTGCGGAGAAAGAGGTGAGGGTCAAAGTTTTGTAGCACTTCTGAGATGATGATCAGCAATTTTGTATAAACTAGTTTTGCACATGGTTGCAAAGATGTTCTGAATTTTTAAGCAAATTATCTTTCCTGTGCTAAAGAGGGAACTGCTAGAAAAGTCATATATATATATATATATATATATATATACACACACACACAAGACTAATAGTGGTTTAAGGTAAGACACTACAGGTAAAATCTTTCTGCACTGATCAATTTTGGGCTATTTGTTTTCTCTCAGACTAGTGGAAAGAAAACATGCAAGTTACACATTTAAGGCTTTATATTATTATACTTTATTTACTTGTGTTTATAGATTTAAATTACAATATATATCAGGCCGTTTTTTTGCCAGAAATGTCCATTCCAGTAGCACTGACATACAACAACCTTCAGTTTTAATCCTATCTATATTCTGAAGGTTTTTACAGAGGGGTTTGTTCATACATCATACTTCTTTTATCATTTTATTCCTAAAAAGAGTGAAAAATATTTTTTTTTCTGGGTGTTGACAATTCTTATTATGATAAACTATGATTAACTCTAATATGTCAACAAAACAAAACAAGACTTTTGAACCCTGGCTTTATCCAGTGTTCATATTTCTGTTCTGGAACTGTATGCAAATGAGTGCATATTTAAGTATCTAATTTGCATATTTAAACGGAACATATCAGAAAACTTGTAATACAAAACAATTGTCTTAATTTATTGTGATTAATCAACCTGTGGTGTCCTGCCTTAAGTTGGTACGTCAATGGAAAAGAGTATTTAAAGAGCACAGCAGGTTCAGACATTAGCCTACTGACCTCCATAGTCAAAGGCTATTAGTTGTCAGTGTCACCACTGTTACATCAGCCTAAGCAGGGAAAAACAAGTCTATATGACGCTTTTAAGCACCCTAAAACTGGCAATAATTGGTAAAAACATCTGCTGTAACATAATGAATTTATTGGGATGTTTATGTTGCTTGCAAAATGTTTAATCAAGTCAGAATGCAAGGATAATTTTGAATGGTCTTTAATGTAGAAAGAGGATTTTTGGTCACAAGTTTCGACATCTACTAGAAGCGGTGAACTAAGCAAGCTAACCAGCCAAGCCTTGGCCCCCAGATCCTAACAATAGTACAGAGTGGCTGTGTTCACAACTGAATACTATGTGCACTGTACAGTGTGCACTGCATACTATTTTGCATTATGCAGCGAAATTGCCAGTCCCATCAAATTGAGCATGAGTATGCTATTTACATAAACAATCATTGCTAAGAGATAAACAGGACTGTCTAGTTAGCTTGTTATCATTTGATCTCGGCAGAAACAGAATGATCAAGGGCGCAGTGGCGTTTTGTTGATGCGTAACTAACTGTGCGTAACAAACGATCGTATTACGTCACTCAGCGTCTAATTAAAAAATAATGTAAACTAAATTAAAAAGCTGTCAGGAGTTGTATTTTAGATAAATATAATTACATATACTTTTTGGTTTCGTTTCTCGGATATTTAAAAAAAATAATAAATATAGACGGGATTTCGTCGCGACTGGTTTGGTTTGTTTGCAGCACTAGGAGTCACGTGACGACACGAGAGTGACGCACGAACATCCGCAGTGACAACACATCAGATACATCCACTCGAATTACAGCAAATGACAAAGGTTAAAAAGCATATATTCAAGTATAACATGCTCGGTTATGAGTGACGACATGAAGGATCACAAAGGCAAAGCGCAATCGTTGCGCGTTAATCGTATTTCTAGGTGGGAATTCGGTTCCGCTTTGGTGCGCGCCAGGAAAAAAAACGAATGTAATAGAGATCAACGACAGAATTATGCAGAAATCTACTCACCTTTTCTGTGTGAACTAGTGTCTTTGTATCGCTTGCATGTTAGATCTTTGGAATCGCTTTAGGGCGAGCAGCAGAACGGTGTCTGTCAAGCGAGCGGAACGGACAGAAAGGTTTAACGCTCTGACTCGTAACTTACTGTACCGCGCTGACCAATGAGAAGCCTGGAAAAGACGATTGAGCCCGCCTCCAAGCCCCTTCCAGCCAATCACATCTCTCCATTATGTGGGTCGGGTGAATTGGATGTGTGTAATGCTGCGTCCCAATGTGCCTACTTATACTACGCTCTTAGAGTGTGCACTCTTTTGGTGAAGAAAAAGTACACACTTTTGAGTGTGTAGTAGAAGAGTAGGCAAGCTTTGGGACATACTATCACTTCACACAACTGCGTCTTTAACTCTAGTACAGTACCAAACCGTACAAACTACTTTTTTACAGTCTATGGTACAAAAGCTTCGCACATCCATTTTTGTTGTTTTCACATTAGTCTTCTGTTGTTTTTATTGCCATTCTCTCTTAGAGACGTTATCAAAAGCCATGGCCCACACAGTCAGTTGTGCACGAGAATATAACCCTTTGGGCTATTGATGGGGTCTCTCTTCATCAACAGCATGATGCATGCTGCTGAGACTGTTCTCCTACTCATAAGAAATCATTTTGCGTCCGCCCCATTTCCCTGACATTTTTCAGTTCACCTGAGGTGGTGTCCATTGTCCAGTATCAAAGTCCATTATAAAACCCATCGGCCTGTGTTGCCATTTTATGAAAGCAGAAACGTCTTAACGTTAATATCAAAGTGTTGAGTTTCGTTCATTTAGACTTTCTTGATGGAACATAATAGAGAGCTGCTTTATGAAGAGCTGGCCACATTTCCACAGAAGTGAGTGTTACAAAAACAGTACGAAACAACATAGTTTATGTAGCTAATCGCTTACATTTAAATTTTGTGTTTTTCTACCCCACTCTATTAAATTTAGGACCAATGTGATTTGCTAATTTTACATCATTTGTTATGGTTTAAAGTAGACTAGTAGACTTGGTCTTGCATTCAGAAGAAACTAGAAAATACATAGATAGTTGGTGTTAATTAAGCGATGTCATTTTGTGACAATCTTCTTTTTAAAAGCAGTAGTTTGATTTTTGTATATTTAGATATTTCGCTTCTGAACGGGAGTTTATCACGTGGTTCAGATATTTAGTTTTCTCTTACGTATTTAACAGCACAATATAAAACTGCCTTTATAGTTGTTGTTGTTTTTGGGGCAAACTACAGGAATACTTACTGTAAATATTAATGTCGTCCAGTGCAATGATAATTACTAGTTAAGGCCATTATTTGCAATTTTTGCTCTTACATTCAACCTCAAAACCTGAGCTGTGTAAAAGTGTTGACAATTTGTTTTGAAAGTCTTGGGTGATTAATATTAATATTAATATTAATCAAATAATATTGGTGATTTTACCAAGGCACCAGGAAGCTGTGCGCTACCACCACAATATGCATCCTCATATTTAAAATGTGGTCTTTTAAGTGAAGAATTAAAAGTTGGTAAAATATTATTTTTATGCACAAATGGCACCATTTTGTGATTTCCCGAGAATGACTTATGGTAGATCAATTCATTTAGCATAAATATTCAGTTAATCAGCAATCAGTCATTATCACAGTGTCTGATTCTGACTTTCCGTCATGTTTGGTTTCAGTTCAGTCCAGATGCAAAGATCGAAGTCATCTGAAGCCAGCTGTGTGTCTGTGATGAGTGACCAGTCACTAGACCCTCCACATAACTTTAGAGGACACTCTGATCTTAGGTCTAGGTAAACACTGTACTAAACATTTATTGGTTCTTCATAAGGTCTGTGATCAAATTAAAAATGATTATTTATCTTGGTTGTAAAATTACAAATTACTAAAGTCGTGAATATAAGTGTGTGTGTGTGTGTGTGTGTGTGTGTGTGTGTGTGTGTGTGTGTGTGTGTGTGAATTATTCACTTGTCATGTTCATCTTCAATGCACAGACTAGACCCTCCAGCACCCAGCTGTGTGTCCATGAAGAGTGACTGGTCAATGGATCCTCCATGTAACTTAAGTGGACACACTGATCCTGGCTTTAGGTAAATGCTGTACACATCATCTGTGTTTACATAAAGAAAGAATTGTTCATTATTAATGCTGTAAAGTGCCTATATGCAATGCATTTCAGAAGGTATTTACTCCAAAAATCTGGTATAACAACACTGATATGTGGATATGCACTTGCTGTAAAGTCTTAATGGAGTAATTCAGTCACCTGAATCAGTTCATTACAAAAGTCATCAATATAAGAATTGTATATATTATTATAACTCTTATATTGTCGTTATATTACATTCACTTGTTGTGTCCATCATTAATGCACAGACTCCACCCACCAGAACTCAGCTGTGTGTCCATGAAGAATGACCAGTCACTAGATCCTCCTCATAACTTTAGTGAACACACTGATCTTGGGTCTAGGTAAATACTCTACTAATCCATTCCTTTTATTACATCTGTGTTTAGACGAAGAAAGAATTGTTCATCGTTAATGCTGTAAAGGGTCTAAAGTGGCTGTATGGAACAGATTTCAGAAGATGTTAATTAAAAGATAGAAGACGTTTTATTTATATTGCGCAATTCGTGCCTTTCCACAAATTCAAAGTCTTTTAACAAAAGATACATTGAAGTACATTTAAAGGAAACAACACAAAATAAACACAAAAGCACCAAGTACAATTTATCAAATACATTTCAAACAAATACGTTTTAGCAGAGACTTGAAAGTAGATAGAGAAAAGTTACTATGAAGAGAAGGGGTAGTGAGTTCCAGATCTTGGGAGCACTAACACAAAATGTTCTGCCACCTATAGACAGTCGAAATCTGGCAATAGACAAAAGGCCAAGTTCAGACGATCTAAGAGGCTGAGTGGGCAAGTATGGGTGAAGTAAGTCCAGATACAGAGGCACAAGACCATGTAAAGCCTTAAATTTGAGCAGAAGTGCCATAAAATTAATGCGTGATGCAACAGGTAACCAGTGAAGATCATGTAGAAGGGAAGTAATGTGAGCGCTGCGCCTGGTCGAGGTGAGCACTAGCAGCTGCACTTTATGCATAATGTAACAATATAATGTGTTTCTTTGGTAAGACAGGGAGCCAATGCAGTGTTGACAGAACCAAGCTAATATGGACATACTTCTTGGTTTTATTAAGCTCTCTAGCTGCTACATTTTGGACCAGTTGGAGTTTGTTTATTAAGCCTTCGGGGCAACCTCCTAGTAATGCATAGCCATAATCTAGCCTTGAGGTTAAATGCATAAATGAACTTTTCTGAATTTGACATTGAGAGATATATATCGTAATTTAGAGGTATTTTTAAGATGGAAAAACATGGTTTTACAAATGCTAGAAATGTGACTTTCAAATGACAAATTGCTGTCAGATAACACACTCAGGTTCTTGACTGACAATGAAGTCAATTTATATCAACTATGAATTCCATTAATTTTGTGAATTGGTATCTTTCGTTGGAAACATTGAGCATCATCAGCGTAACAGTGAGACACCATGTTTCTTAATAATATCTCCCAACAGGGTGAAAAGCAATGGTCCTAGTACTGAGACTTGTGGTACTCCATATTGAACTTGTGATTGATATGACACCTCTTCATTTACTGCTGCAAATTGATAATGGTCAGAATAAGTACAATTTGAGTCATGTCAATACAATTCCATTAATGCCAATGTAATTTTTGAGCCTATCCAAGAGAATGTTGTGGTTGATAGTATCAAAGGCAGCACTGAGGTCCAGTAACACTAATAGAGAGATGCAAACATGATCAGATGATAAGAGCAAGTTATTTGTAACTCTGATGAATGCAGTTTCAGTACAATGAAATGACCTAAACCTTGACTGGAATTCCTCGCAGATGCCAGTTCTTTCCCAAAAGGAAAATAGTAGTGAAGATACTACTTTTTCTAGTATTTTTGATAGGAAATGGAGATTTGAAATCAATCTGTGGTTTACATAATTCTCTAGAACCAAGTTGTTTTTTTTATAAAAGAGGCTTATTAACAGCCAGCTTGAAATTTTTTGGGACATATCCTAATGAGTTAAAATTATTAAAAAGTTTCTTACTACTTCCAGAAACATCACTTTTAATAGTTTGGTAGTTATAGGGTCTTACATATGTTGATTTAGATGATTTAACAAGTTTAGACATTTCTGTTCCCATTGCACGGAATGATAAAAAAAAAAAAAAAAGTCAATCTGTTTTATTATTTGTATTTTTGAGTGTCAGGAGCAGCAGGAAGAGACCCAAATGCAGAGTGAGTGAATCAAAGATTTATTGAAAACACACAAGTTCACAAAGCACACGGGTAGACAATCTTGAGGCAGCTCCAACCAGCAGGAAGAGAACTATGCCCCAAGAGATAGACAGTCTGGAGAACAGTCTCAGTTGTTGGCCGAACCAGGCAGAAGAATGGGGAGAAGACCAGAGCAGAGAACAGCAGAGCGTGCCAGCAGAGTGAAGGGACCCAAAGCAGGCCAGTATCAGATTAGGTTCTCAGCACCAGGCTTGGTTGGCGGACTGCTTTGGGGAACCAACAGACAGGGAGTCTCAGGCTGGGAGAGCAGGACTGGAGGGAACACACAGCACAAACACACAACAGGACCAACAAGACGCAAGTCAAGACCACAAAGCAACACTACTCAGCACAACACAAGGAGAAACAGCATGATATAATAAAAAGGAAAAAAAAAAAGAAAGAAAAAAGTAAAATAAAAAAGTAAATATCTTGTAAGTTTAGACTAATAAATAACTAAAGTATAAAATCCAAGCAATAGCGAGAACACAAGACTAGAAACAAGACTGATGATTAACTAAGAAAACATTACAAGTAAATAAGTAAGAAAACTGAAGATAAAAACCAAAAACAAAGGAGAGAAATCAAGAGCAAAAACTACAGCAAGGATACACAATCACAGTAACAGAGCAAGACTGGAATATACTGTAGAGCAGCAAACCAATAACTGTCTCTCTATGGCACAAGACTAACCAGCAAGCATAAGAGGAACAAACAGCACAATATAAAGAGAGGAAAGCACACAGGGCCAGGTGAGCACAATTAAAGAAACGAGAACAAGAAAAGGGCTAAACAAGAGGGCGTGACCAAGGGAAGAAAAGAGGTGGGACCAAAGGGACACATGGCAGACACAAACAAAGACAAAGCAATGTGTTCAGGCGCAAGACACAAAAAAAAAAAAACATTAAACAAAGGCAATGCAGACAAAGCTGCCAGGGCAGAACCCTGACAGTCGAGATCCTGTAACCCATGTTTATTCTTCCCTTTTTATAGTTTTGTGTTGGTTTTGGTTGTTTGTGTGTATTGTGAGTGTTGTATTTGGAGCATAGGGTCAGGATCTGGGGTCTGTTATTTGGACCTCGCTTAATACATCTACGATGATTTGACAAATGTCAGATTTTCTAATTGTGAGAACTGATCTCTGGCTAATTTGGTTCTTCTTTGGGATTTGGTTCTTTCGTTCTTATGTGCATTTAAAGGGCAGATATATGGCGTCAGGATTGTAATAGGCAAATGAAATGTTAAGGTTATAATAGATAAATGAAATGTTATATAATATGCATGTACACCATATTCTAATAATTTATTGTTTTAATCTTACAGCCATGACCCTCAACATGCTGAAGCCCTCAAGACATTTAGATCAAATGTGAGGGAAAAGTTTGAGTGTCTTTATGAGGGAACAGCAAAGCAGGGAACCCCAACACTCCTGAATGAGATCTACACAGAGCTCTACATCACAGAGAGTGAAAGTGGAGAGATCAATAATGAGCATGAGGTGAGACAGATTGAGACACAATCCAGGAGAGCAGCAACAGAGGACACAGCCATCAAATGCAACGACATCTTTAGAGCTTTACCTGGACAAGACAAACCCATCAGAGCTGTGCTGACAAAGGGAGTCGGCTGAAGGGAAAGAGAATCAGGATGTCCAGCTCATATTTCCACTTTCTTTCAGAGAGCTCAACTTGATGAAGGATGAAAAACTCAGTCTTTTAGATCTTCTGCATGTTTTATTTCCTGAAACCAAAGAAATGAAAATATCAAGTGATGAATGTAAAGTGTTGTTCATCTTTGATGGTCTGGACGAGTGTCGTCTTCCCATAAACTTTGACAGCAGTGAGACTCTACAGGATGCGACCAAAGAGACGTCAGTGCACATGCTGCTGATGAACCTCATTGTGGGAAATCTGCTTCCCTCTGCTCTCATCTGGATCACCTCCAGACCAGCAGCAGCCGATCTCATTCCCTCTGAGTGTGTCCATCGAGTGACAGAGGTACGAGGCTTCAGTGACCCACAGAAGGAGGAATACTTCAGGAAGAGAATCAGTGATCAGAGTCTGACCGAGAGAATCATCTCACACCTGAAGTCATCAAGGAGCCTCTTCATCATGTGCCACATCCCAGTGTTCTGCTGGATCTCAGCCACTGTTCTAGAGAAGATGCTGTGTGAAGCAGAGAGAAGAGAGATTCCCAAGACTCTCACTCAAATGTACACACACTTCCTGATCATTCAGACCAACATCAAACATGAGAAGGACTATGAGAAGAATGTGAAGGATGAAGACATGATCCTCAATCTGGGGAAACTGGCTTTCCAGCAGCTTGTGAAAGGCAACCTGATCTTCTATGAGCAAGACCTGAGCGAGTGTGGCATTGATGAGACTGAAGCATCAGTGTACTCAGGATTGTGCACTCAGATCTTCAGAGAGGAGTTGGGCTTGTATCAGGGGAAAGTCTTCTGCTTTGTTCATCTGAATGTGCTGCTTTCATTCCTGCTGGACAAGAGGGATGTGCTCAATGAAAACCTCAGCTTAAAACATGAACGTGAGTGTCGCACGATATCTGACCTGCATCAGAGAGCCGTGGACGAGGCTTTACAGAGTAAGAATAGACATCTGGACCTTTTCCTCCGATTTCTTCTGGGTCTCTCGCTGAAGTCCAATCAGACGCTCCTGAAAGGTCTTCTGATACATGTTGGAAACATTTCGTACGGAAAAAAGAAAATTGCTGCGTACATTAAAACAGAAATAACAGCGAATCCCTCACCAGAGAAATACATCAATCTGTTCCACTGTTTAAATGAACTGGGTGATCATTCTCTCGTGAGTGAAATCCAGAAGTATCTCAGATCTGGAGATCTTTCAAGCACCAGATTGTCCTCATCACAGTGGTCAGCTGTTGTCTTTGTTTTGTTGACCTCAGAGCAGTCAGATAAGTTTGATTTGAGTAAATACGTCAGCCGCGAGTACAACCAAAACCACATGTCACCTGATGACGTTCTTCTGAAGCTCTTGCCTGTAGTTGAAGCCACCAGATCAGCTCAGTAAGTAGCACTGACTGTAATTTTCAGATGTGTGTGAATTGTAAGTGCTTCTCTATTCTTTATCGTCAATGGTAGTGTTAATTTAACCTGATTTTTTTTTTGATACAAGACACTTGGGTGTCTCTTCCTTTCCACATTAACAGTGAACTTGAGATTAAGATGCTAATTTAAAAGCTTGATATTAGAATGTCTGTCACTGTAAATGTCTGTGAAACCTCATCCATTGGTCTTCCAGTAAGACTATCTCTAAACTTCTAATATATAGTAAACTTTTGTATATTATGCAAAATCTGGCATTTGTGCTAGCTTGATTTTGTTTAAACCACTTTTGATTGATTTACCCAATAAAAGAGCCCTATTTGAGGTGTTTACATGATTTTACACATTGATTAGGCATTAATTCCGCAAGTATAAAATGTGCAAACTATTTGTATCGATTGACAGACACAGTACAGATAAAACATGGCAAACACAAATACCAGCAAACAAATAAAAACATTCTAGAAAATGATTATAAAAGATCAGTCAAAAAAAAATGTAAAGACGGAACATTCACTACAAAAATGTTTTAAATGTGGCGAATATTGAAAATTCTGTTTGCATTAGACATTGTAGAATTATTATTTTGTTTTTGCTTTGTGACACTGCACATTTGAATTGTATGGTTGTTGCAACCACTGTAATCACTGTGATTGTTGATGGAGCCCAATGTTAAACTGATCTTTGTGTCTTGAGCGAAGAGAGTGAAGAGTGTGTCGTTGATCTGCAGGGTGAGTAATCCTGCGTCACAGATGAAGGTTGTGCTGCTCTGTGTTCAGATCTGAGGTCAAACTCCTCACACCTGAGAGAACTGGATCTGACACTGAATACTCTAGGAGACGCTGATCTCTGAAGGACTGAAGGATCCTCACTGTAGACTGGAGAAACTGATGTAAGATCATACATTAATCTCAGCCGAAATGATTAGATATATTACACCAAGTGTGTGTGATCATAATGTTGTTCAGATCACAGTGTTTTACATTAACACACAATAAAACAAAAGTACACAAAAACTAATAAAAACATGAAACCCGCACGGATTACATTTTATAATGTCTCTGTGTTTGTGTCATTGTTCTGAAGGTTGAGATATTGTGATATCACAGATGAAGGTTGTGCTGCTCTGGCCTCAGTGCTGAGATCAAACTCCTCACACCTGAGAGAACTGAATCTGACTGGGAATAAACTAGGAGATATAAGGGTGAAGCTGCTCTCTGATGGACTGAAGGATCCTCACTGTAGACTGGAGATACTAAAGTAAGATCATACATTAATCTCAATTGACACAATTATATGTTATATCAAGGATCTGTCATCATAATGTTGTTCAGATCACAGTGATTTGCATTAACACAAAAGTAAACAAAAACTAATAAAAACATGAAACCCTCACAGATTTGGGATTTAATATCATAGCCTCTCTGTGTTTGTGTCATTGTTTTCTGCAGGTTGAGGGATTGTGGCGTCACAGCTGAAGGTTGTGCTGCTCTGGCTTCAGCTCTGAGATCAAACCCCTCACACCTGAGAGAACTGGATCTGTTTGGGAATAAACTGAGACGGTCGAGTGTGAAGCTGCTCTCTGCTTTATAAGTTGATCCACATTATAAACTGGTGATGCTGTTGTAAGTAATGATTCGTGTATCATATAATAATAATAGGTTTTTTTTTTTTTTTCATCAAATATATAATCAGCAGAATAATCAGTTTTCAAAATAATCATTAGATCCAGCCCTAAGGTGAGCTGTAGTTTTTGTAATTTTTTTTCTGTCATTCAGACAGTTTCACTCTGTCTAAATAGGCAATTAATGGCCAGAATCAGCTGTGGTGGATGAAGAGAGCATTTATATTACAGTGTGGAAGAATTATTACTGTATATTTTCTGCAGGTTGTGTCACTGCAATATTGGAGATGAAGGTTGTGCTGCTCTGGCTTCAGCTCTGAGATCAAACCCCTCACACCTGAGAGAACTGGATCTGTTTGGGAATAAACTGAGACGGTCGAGTGTGAAGCTGCTCTCTGCTTTATAAGTTGATCCACATTATAAACTGGTGATGCTGTTGTAAGTAATGATTCGTGTATCATATAATAATGTAATTTGTACTAACAGTCCCCTGTACGGTACAGATATGTGTCAGTAGTAATGCTCCATAATGCATCTGTTACTGTGTGTTTCATTTTGTACTGATAGGTATTAAATGATGGTGAACATGGGATCACGACAGACTCATTACGGCCAACAGAATCAACAGAACTGATGTCACAGTGAACAAGTGCTGATGTGTGTGCGGTTTATGGGACATATTTTACTAGTTGGGCTACTAAGGTAATTTCATATTAGACCTATTACTGATATCAGCTGAGTTTAGAGTAAAATCCGATACAACTTTTTATTAATATCAGAGAACAATTATGTAAATGTTATGCTGTATAAAATTATATCAATTAATTTGACATAAAAAATTATGTACATGTAGTAATATGATGTAAAAGTAAAATTAATGTTTAGGTTATATTTCATTTCATTCTCTTAAGACCATTGTTTACTGTAAAACACTGCCTCATACCCTATTTTTATGTTTTAATTATATTGTGTGTTTTGTAAATATCAAATCAATGCATTGTTTTATGGGAATGAATCAACAGGATGGTTTTCACACTCAAACTCTCTGATCTACATATTATTAACTGAAATCAGCTAAACCTGTAATAAGGACTGTAAAAAGATGGACTAATGAAGCAGAGTGGGATTTACAAGCCTGCTTCGACTGCACTGATTGGAGTGTTTTTGAAGCGAGAGACTGTAACTTCATACATCAGTTTCTGTGAGGATATGTGCATCCCCACCAGGACATTCTTATCATTCAATAACGATATACCGTTTACCGTTTACTGGGAAACTCAAACAGCTTTGTCATGCCAAAGAGGATGCTTGCAGAAGTGGGGATAAAATCTTGTACAACCAGGCCAGAAACAGACTGACAAAGGAGATCAGAGTGGCTAAAAAAACCTACTCTGAAAAGCTGAAAAACCAGTTTTCATCCAAGGACCCGGCGACAGTCTGGACCGTCCTGAGGAGCATCACCAAGTACAAGACACCACCCCCGCAGTCTGTGGAGATTCTGGAGAATCAACAACTGGCTGACGATCTGAATGTGTTTTACTGCTGATTCAAAAAGCCCCCCGGCCACACACCTGCTCTGATCTTTTACTGGGAAACTCAAACAGCTTCGTCATGCCAAAGAGGATGCTTACAGAAGTGGGGATAAAATCTTGTACAACCAGGCCAGAAACAGACTGACAAAGGAGATCAGAGTGGCTAAAAAAACCTACTCTGAAAAGCTGAAAAACCAGTTTTCATCCAAGGACCCGGCGACAGTCTGGACCGTCCTGAGGAGCATCACCAAGTACAAGACACCACCCCCGCAGTCTGTGGAGATTCTGGAGAATCAACAACTGGCTGACGATCTGAATGTGTTTTACTGCTGATTCAAAAAGCCCCCCGGCCACACACCTGCTCTGATCTGCACTTCAGACATTCACCTACCCCCCCTGCAACCCCCCTCCCTCCCTCTCCTCTCCAACCATTCAACCTGCGCTTAAGGTCTGTGTAGAGGATGTGGACCGGGTCTTCAGGAAGCAGAAGACTGGGAAAGCTTCAGGCCCACATGGTGTTTCACCTGCCTGTCTAAAAGTCTGTGCTGACCAACTGTCCCCCATCTTTACACAGCTCTTCAACAGATCACTGGAGCTGTGTGAAGTTCCCTGCTGCTTCAAAAGCTCCATCATCATTCCGGTCCACAAAAAGCCCAAAATCACTGGACTTAATGATTATAGACCTGTCGCTCTCTGTGGTCATGAAGTCATTTGAGCGGCTGGTCCTGGCCTACCTGAAGGACATCACTGGACCCTTGCTGCATCCTCTTCCGTTTGCCTACAGAGCAGGTC